TGTTATAATATGTGCCAGAATTTTCTTTCTTTTTAAGGCCCAATAGTATTCTATTACAGACCACATTTTGTTTATCCATTTACATGTTGATGGCCATTTGGATTGTTTTTACCTTTTGGCTACTGTGAATAATGCTGCTATGAGCGTTCATGAACAAGTATTGTATGGACATGTTTTCATTTCTTTTGTATATGTACCTCGCAGTGTAACCGCTAGGTGTTATGGTAGCTCCATGTTTGAGTATGTGAGGAGCCCCCAGACATTGTTCCAAAGCGGCTGCACCATTTTACATTACCACGAGCAGTTTTTAAGGGCTCCACATCCTCACCAATATTTATTATCATGTCTTTCTTTATTATAGCCACCCTGGTGGGTGTGATCTCTTTGTGGTGAGTTTCAGTATTCATAAATTCTGCACAATTTAGGGGAATGTTTTATTGTCAAAGTAAGTTTCAAATGCAAATTTAACAAAACTGATAATGTTTCTCCACCAGTGCTATAGCAGCATGAATTTCATTTATAAGCACCATTTCCATTATAGGACTTTAAGCCCTTGAACCCAAAAGAGGAAGATAAAATTAATATAAATATAACTTATATAATTCACTGGCATGACATTCACAGTGCAACCCTCACCACTAAAAGTTCCTAGAACTTTTATATAGGTTAATATCCAAGTGTTAACCTAAAAGGGGAAAATAACAGAATTTTCATACTTCCTATCTCTCTGAAGAATAAACTGGTTCTCCTTGACAACAGCATACAAGATATGGTCTGTATTCCATATCTGCGAACAACTCAGTGCCTCCCAAGAGATTTCACATTGAGATGAAAGCCAATTCTACTCTCAACCAAATTTAGAAAGTATGTGTGATACCTGGAATGGGGTGCTTATGATGATATTATTACTTCTCTCATGCTGCAATGTTTTTTTCACATTTTCTTAACTTGTTTGAGGAGGATAGTACTTAAAGGTGTTTAAGTATATACTTATGAAAAAGAAGCAGCTTTTCACCATTAAGCCTAACAATTGCAGCAGCTAAACTCATAAAATTTTTAATTCCCTTTCAGTTTCTATTCAGACTGGTACAGTAGATAGACTGAAATTTTCTTTTTATACTAAATGCTCCAGTTAGTAAATGAGATTTCTCAATCAAAATGTACTTATTTATTTTTTTAATTTCTATATTGTAGAGGTATAATTTATATTCTGAATGTGTAAAATTATATTTAGAAACTTTGCCCCTTCATGTATGACTCTTAAAATTCTTATGTTGTGATGGGTTAGTTTTAAATTTAAACAAACAAACAAAAAGAAACCTTTTAGGATATGCTCAACTCTGCCACACTCCTTCTAGCTCCAAAGAAGTGAAGAAAAATTCAGTTATCTTTTATGCTTTTTATTGTTAGAAATTTTGTTCAAAAGTTACAAATACATCTTGATAATTCTTTTAAAGAATAAAAGCAATTTTTGTGCTGGAAACTCATGTAGTTGATTCCATGGATTTATCTGTCTTTGTGTTGTGGTCAGAGGAAGTCCCAGCATGTCTCTTCTCTCCTTGGGGGTGTGCCTAAGCTGTTGACAATGGAGGACATGTGCAGGGACCCTATTGGAGACTGTGGGGTTTGAGCTGGGTGAAATACTGGCTGGCCCCCTGGCTCTGAGCTCCATTTTAATTTTAAGCTTCTCTGATTCCATCCAGGCCAGAGTGTCAGCAAAAGTGTGTATAATTATCTATGTGTAACGTGAAGTGTTTCCCTAACTACTTTCAGAAATACCACACAGTATTGTTTTTTATACTTCAAGTTCTCTGCTGTGGTTTATTCTAAGATGGCTTAGATATCATGTGTTAGTACCACAAGCTCCTACAGGGTTAAAGCAGGTTGAATTTTTAAGAGATATGAGGATGACTATTTTTTAGCTTAGATTTATGTAATCGGGTGCATAATTCTTTGGTTGTTAAAACCCCAGCTTCTCAGGACTAATTACAGGGCACACAGCTCACCAGACAGAACGAGCAAAGATGTGTGCAGTGTGTGTTCTCGTATATCACACATGACATCTCTTTTCCTGGAGTCTGTCTCTGCATAATTGTTCTTCAGGATTTGTTGCTTTGGGGTTTATGGGGAAAATACTCCTAATGGAAATACTGTTATGTTGTATTCAGCATTCCAACTTTCAGCAGATTTAATGATAAATCTGTTTCCATTAGGAGAGTCAAGTTAAAATGCATTCCAAGATTTAAATAAGACATGCAGTAATTAGAATTTATAGGGAGAAAACTGCTGAATGAAGAAGGGAATATAATGGAGTCATGTTTTGGTCTGTGGAGAGCCTTGAGAAGGGACATCACTTGGGTTGGGCAAGTCAGTCCACCTCCCATCAGGGACAGACTGGATCCAGGCATATAGGGAGGACAGCGACATGGGTCAGGAAATGCTTGGGTTCAGCTTCCCTTAGAATAGAGTTGACCCTTGAACAAGCCAGTCTTTGGGTGTGTGCCAGGGCCCCAAGCAGCTCTGTGGCTGACAGCACTCATGGAGTGCTCAGCAGGCTGCACCCTCTGCGGATGTTTCAAACCTGTGACTTCATAATGGTGCCATGACTGGTTCTGATCCCCATTTTTTTCAACAAGGAAACCGAGGAGCACAGCCACTATGTCTCCTCCTAAAGGAGCCATGTGGGCAACCTGAACAAGGCCCTGACCTGGGCACTGCTCCGCATAGTCTCTTCCACTTTCCTCACTTGGGGCTCCCCTTGTCTGGGAGGCCACGCAGGTGTTGGCCTGCAGGCCCGTGCTCCTTGTCAAGCATGCAGGGGTGGGGACACACAGTCCCAATTCTTCTGGGCTGGTCTCATCCCTGACTTGTAACTCCATTTTTAATGCCTGCTGAAGTAATTCACCAGCACTTTCCTTTTTTATTTTATTGGCATCAGTTATTGAGGTGTCTGCTAATCCATTTTAAATGGATTTCCTGTGAACAATTTAAAACAGAGTTTACACAGGTGACAACTATTCTGTTACAGAGACACTGAGGCCCTATAAAGAGGGGTTTTCAGAGCTCAGCTGATCTGCCTTCCCAGCCTGGCTTGCTGTGTGACTCTCGAGGTATCTGATAAACTCTCTGAGGTTCAGTCTATCTATGCTATGAGTATAGCAATAACATCTATGTTAAATAAGCATAGCAATATTTGCTCCAAAGGAATGCTATAACCATTTATTTAGAATACACACACACACACACACACACACACACACACTGCCTGGTATATCGGTTGTTTTAAAACAATATATTAGGCTCTAATAGAAATCACTTATTTATATTTGCTTTAAAAAATTTAGAAATATTCAGGTCCAGGGACCCAAGGCAGGCACCGGAGGTGTCTGGTGAGTGAATGAAAGTCACTCCAATGCCTGTGGCTTTTTACAAGGTTCTCAGAGCATCTTCTGAGCAAGCTTTGCTGTCAGCGTTTCCCACTGCAGACTGCTGGGGTGGGTGGGAGTGTTCCCCATTCCTGGGGCCCTGAGTGAGAGTGGAGAAAGTTGTAAAGCTGGGATCAGGCGCTACATATTTTGGTCAAATTCTCAGCCCCTCTAGTTGTTAACTACATGGCCTTGGCAAGCTATTTAAAGTTTTCATTCTTGTTTTTGGTTGCCTCCCCATCCCCCACCCCGGGAGTGGGGGGAATTAGGAATAATAAAAGCACCTTTTCTGCTTGTTCTCAGGAAAGTGGGGCCCTGCTAAAGGTTATAGTTCCTTTCATAGTATGATCACTTTAGAAGGTGCAAAAATGCCTTCAGCCTGTTACCAAGTCTCAGCTCATTTGTCACTGTTTGGTCACAGTTTTAGGAGAGTATTGACCCCCGAGATGCCTTGCTCCTGACTCCTTGATTTACATTTGCTGGTAGCCTTTTCGGGAGGTTAAGGAGGCCACTAGGCTGGCAACTAAATACTTTCAATCACAGGTCTTGAAATCCTTTCTCTCTGTGGGCCACCTGGCTTCTATCTTCAGACTATGAAGCCTTTTTTTTTTTGAGATGTCTTTTCCTTTATATTCAATCATTTTTCAATATGTCCCTTTTGGGAATTCTTATTAAAGAACCTGACCGAATGCAATACACATACAGAAGATAGGAGTTGTTTCAAGTCTTCATTCATCAATTAAATCAATTCATGTACTTAGCATAATTTCACCTCTTCTGTGATAATATTTAGAATAATCCTTCTTCTCCCAGGATGCCAGTTTATGGTTTTATGTGTCTGCTGATCATAACTGTCAAGTATCTGAGTAGGAATATGCATAATAAAATGCCAACACTATAGCAGAAGCAGGGTGCATTTTTATGTTTTTTAAAACCAAATTTATATTTTTATTTCTACAGTTTCACTGAGATATAATTTGACATACAACACTAAGTTTAGGGTGTACAGTGTGATGATTTGACATGTATATATTGCAAAATGATAACCATAATAAGGTCCATTAAGGTGTTTTTAATATGATTCATTAAATGAATTTTTTTAAAAAGTCTTTTTTACGTTGGTTTTCAATACATATATTTTCTTCAAACCTGATTAGTTATTTCTGTCTTAATTTCTCCTTTTCAACTAAAATAAAACAAAAAACGACTAGCATCAATGCTAACGCTCAATACTAACGCTCGGCATCATCACAGTGGCCCCTCAGCCTGAAGTTACTAAACTCTCAGCTGTTGAGAATGGGAAACCTGCGGGTGAAGGAGCAAGCACCTCGCGTTTGCTGCCACCTTCCCAGATCTGCAGGAGCGTAGGTTTAAGGCGGCCGCGGTGTGAAGCGCTCTTCCGCCCACCACCGCCAGGGGCGCCTGGGCCACGCGGAGCTCGGCGTGGCGGGAGCTGAGCAGAGCGGAGCCGAACGGGCTGGGCGGGAGGGGTGGGTGTGGCCGCAGGTGGGGGCGCGTCCCGGCGGCTGCGCGGGATCGACGGGCAAGTAACCCTGAGCGCAGGAGAGCCGAGAAGAGGGCGCAGCAGGGCCAGCGCGGAGCAACTGCCCGACAGCTTTGATTTCGCGGTGCGGAGCTCCAGCAACTGTGAACATGAACCTTGTCGCGGGAGCCTTTCTCAGGATGCTCTTCCTTTTGTCTGCTCAGCCCTGGAGCACAGGAGTAGCAGGGAACCCTTGTGAGTACAGCACATCTTTTCAAACTTATTGACATTTGCAGATGGAGTCCTTAGCATGTTTCTGGAAATGAGGCATTTGGAAAACATCTCCAAGCCTCAGCGCTAAGACAGGATGATGTACAAGGATTTTCCTCTTGTCAAGTCTAAAATGCATGAAGCTGGGTTTGACCTTTTTTGTCTGAGCTGAATCCTAAGCTGTTGTCTTGAATATTCATTGAGGAAGCTCAAGTTCTAGTAAAACTAAAATTCACGTGAGATTATTGAGACGCGAAGAGAGACAGCGAGAGAGTAGCGTGAGATAATGAGACAGCAGGCCAGTGTAGTCATGTATTTGTGGTTCAAGTGCATGTTGTGGCATCGAGTCAAGCAAGGAAACCGCGGCCAGCCTTGCAGTCCTTCATCAGCACGGAGGTTGGCCCCTGGCGCTCTGCGGAATTCATGGGTGACCCAGAGCTCAGGAGGCGTGGGGGCTCCCCGCAGAGCCCACCCGGCCAGCCTGCAGAAAGACCCCTCCAACGGGAAAACAGCTGCCTTTCAGGTTTATTTACAACTGTACGTGCTTGTACGTTGTGACATGTGTTTCCTACTTGTTAGTTTGGTGAGGATCAATTCTGGACCAGCGCTCTGGGTCTCATCTAAAGATGCTAGCCAGATTGGTTCAGCCGACCTCAAGGCGTTTTAATCTGGAAATTCGAAAACGTTTTAAAAGAGTCAGATTGACAGCCCCATCACAAGGCTTTTTTTCCTTGAGGAATTCTGAGAAAGTCCCCTTTATCCTCCCTCCTCCCCCCCACCGCGCTCTCATCAAGAATTTTTTTAAATTATTTTTTATTGTGAAATACACATTTTTTAGAATTAGTTTCAGCTTTAAAAAAAAATCAGGTTGTGGGCTATAGGAAGAGCCAGTGTGCTTTTCAAGAAAGTGCTAGTAGGTTTCATCGGAAACTGACATTGCTGCTGCGCATCCAGATTTAGCTCTTGGGAGGCCAACTCTGCCATCACCAGGAAGTTTGCCACCAAATGGAAAGCATTACAAAGTTACCCACCCACATATTCATCCTTATATTCAGGGAGGTTGTGATGATTTTTGTACTGTCATCAATTAGTATATACTCATTTAATGCCAAATTATGTGAATCACTCCTAAAAATGAGCTTTAGTCTCCTTTATGCAAATGCTGCCCTGTATTTCAGATACAATTTGAATTTAGCTTTGTGCAACAACCTTCATGAATGATTTAAATTCGGTGTTTACATAAAATCTAATCCTTAGGTCCTGCTACAGAGCATTTGTCATTTTGCAAAGAAAATTAAAATGACTAGTACTAAATAATTTGCTCATAGAAATGAATTGTAGAATAATTTGACACACAACACTGAAGTACAATTAAAAAGTCACTGGAGGTCATTTTATTTAAAGCAAACATGGCTTCAGAAACCCTTCCCATAAAAGAAGCAGGATGCCCTGTTGCATTTCTTGTTTCCTTAGCTGTAATTACAGGATATTGGCAAGATCAGTTGTTTTGGTATTTCTTTGTATTTCTATTTGTATCGTATTCCCTAAAATCCTTGGAGATATCACTTTCTTTTACACTGAACATCCTTTTTAGGTCTCATGTGCTCTGAGGTGCTCCGTGTCTCAATATCCATGCAGATATCTGTGTCTAAATTGGATGCGTCAGTCTGCCTGGGTCTCTGGCTGACTCCTCAAATGCCAATGCTCATGTTCATTTTTCAGCCTCTTTTTATTTAGATGTATTTACTACTGGTATTCAACAGTCAGTAAATTAAAGTTCCCATGTAAATCTGCATTGCTAAGACCATTTTAGAGACTAAAGTTAGAATCCTTGATCACCATATATATGGCTATTGATAGTTCTTCAAGCATCAAATATATATTTAAACCACTTTGAAGTTTAAAAACTCATAATCTGTACAATTTGCATTTGATCATTTCTTAGTGATCTGATTTTGACAGTATCATTTGCAGCAGTAGAAATAATGGTGAATGAGTATCATTATGGTCTGGATTAGCCAATTTGCCTGATTAAGTTTTTCTTTAATTCCTGAATAATTGTAAATTGCTTGTTTGTATTGCATATATGTGTACAGGCAAGGTAGTTTAAACATTTATTTGAAATCTGTTATTCCTGAGTTAAGATAGGGGTCTCTCTAGTCCTGTCCCATTATTTGATAAATTCTACAGAAGAGTTTGCCATCAGGGTGGGATTTAGGCTATGAACAATAAATGGTGAACATTAGCATTTCTCAAGCTTTTTGGTGGCTAACCTTTTTTACTTAGAAATATTTAAATACTCAATCTTTTCAGACATGACTTTAACAAAAACGAAATATTCTTGAGTACTAATAAGAAATTAATGAGGACTGTATATAATTTTTTTAAAGAGCTTTATCTTTTTCCTAAATGGTCCCAATTGCAGTTTTACTCTATTTATAGCTGGTTTTCAGCAGTATGTCAGTCAGCCAGAGGGTCAACCTGGGTGAGGATTTATCATCAGACATCTTCTCAAGAAACCGGACTTTCTTGAAAAATCTGACATCTCAGAGGTTATACACATTTTGATCTGACATCTAAGAGATTATACTCATTTTGACATGAACTTTTTAAATCAATGGGAAATTTTAAGTCAGGAGGATTCTGCACAGGGGGAAATTGTTTCTAAATGGTCAAGATAATATGCTTTTTATTTTTTCTCTTTAGTCTCTGTGTTTTTGAAGATAAAACAAACTGAATGGACTGCATCCTCCAAAATATGACCTAGGACCTGATATTTTAGAAATGTGAACAGCTACCTGGTCTGCCTTCTAGATCTTTTTGTCTTCAGTCACGATGAACGTGTCATATGGAGTTGTCCTGAATGGAGCTCAGAGGAAAGTTTGAGTATAGATTCCAAGTTAGAGTCCTGTTTTCTAGAAGTTGTGTAGGCAGTTCTTTCCCTTCCCACAAAGAGGCACAAATGGGGGGAGGAAGGTGATAGCTCACTGCTTTAGAATTATCCTTGTGAATGTACTATTTCTTTATGAATTTCAAGACATTTTGGGAGGAAGAATAAATGTAATCAGAATAAGAAAATGTAAACACTTTGATAGCTTGTTTAATGCTGTCAGTCTGTCTCCTGGGTTGTTGTCACTGAGGAGTAACGTTCATCTCCCACCGCCTTAGGAACAACACAATTGGAAGTTAATTTACAGCTGAATTATTTTCCCCATATAAGTCAAGTACAAGCTATAGCTGATAGCACATGTCACCTCCACTCTCCCTTTCCACAGAAAAGGAAAAAGGACTGAAGTACCTGTTAGAAATTTCAGTGATTGATGGGGATTATTGGATATAAATTATGACATTTTAGATCCAGGGATTCAATTTAGTATGACCGAGTCGATCCCACCTCGTTAAATACCAGCACTTGTAGTTTTCTCTAAAAGTTTCTTTTTGTTTCTTTCCCTGTCATAAGTACCCTTCTCATTATAAGAAGAAAAAATATATGTCTGGCCCACTGCAGGTGGGGCATACTCTTTGAATCGCTCTTCTAAAAGTGAAAACTGGAACTTGTTTTTTTCCATGAGTGCCTCTCTTCTTCCCATTACATCCTGCATACATAGTGAGAGGTGTCTGCCCATGATTAGGGGTGCAGATCGAGCCTGTTTTTTTGGCCAACGTGGCTAACAAACCCATGACCTTCACGCAATACCTAGCACTTGACCTAAGCAATAAACATATTAACACCTCAATTTGAAGATTTGTGTCAGATCTGAACAAGTCAGATCATTGGAGCATTGACTTGTTTATGTGCCAAAGCATCACTCTATGTCATCTTTGGTGAAAGTGTGTTAGTATAATCCTGTAATAGAAATTATCCCACAATATTATCCCTTTAAAATATAAATAACATACATAGCATGATCTAATAGTGAGACATTTGCAGTGTATAAATGATAAACCAATAACATGATTATCCTCAGTTATTTGGTGTGAAAATATGAGTGCAGAATGGAGGAACTGAACATGATGTTATGATTGCTAACAAGTATAAAATTATGAGCATTTATTTCAGCAAATGTCTACCAGTGTGTTTGTCATATGTCCCTTCTCTAGGATTTTGATTTGCAGAAATCTTGTCATTTCAGTGGGCATGGATTCATTGTAATTATTTGCTAAGTTCTTTATTTCTAAATGAGTCCATTCAATCTCTGGTAATGTCATGAGTGTTAGAGGTTCAATATAGAGAAGTTTTCGCTTTGGCTGATATGGATTAAAGTCCTGCTGACGTTTTAACTGGTTCAGGCTATTCTTTGCCTCAGTAGCGTGTTTAATGTTTGCCTAGAGAGAATTTGATCTTCCAAGTTCATCAGTATGGTGATGAATCACCATCAGTGGGAGGTGAATCCATTTGTGGGTGTAGTGAAATGTTGGGGAAAAGGAGCCAGAATATAGGACTGAGTGGTTTTCATAGACACTGGAGCTGGGACTCTTTGGGAAAAGCCTTCAACAAGTTGGTAAACAGACCTTTGTTGATAGTAATTGAATATACTTCCCATAAATTGAAGACAGGATGTTTTTGAAGACTTTGAGAAAAGAAAAACATTTTCTCTCCAGAAAACTTACATAGTCATGTGACTATCAACAGAGTGACAGACAAGGGTAGGTGGAGCCAAGTTTTGTGGGGACTGAGGGTTATACAATTTTCGGAAACTAAGCAGAAACAACCAGAATGACCCTGACCCTGAAGACACATTACAAATGACCCTCCCAGGCCGGGAAAGTTGCTCTAAGGAGAGGACTGGAGCTTAAGAAAATTCACTTTTTTATTGGAGTTGATTTGGGAAAAAAAAACCCAAATCACTCGAAAGTTCTTAAACATATTCACTAACAGACAAATCTCAATTAGCTGAGTAAATTCTAAGTTAAATTTTCCCATTAAATCAATAAAAGGTTAAATATAAAAGTAGCTCAAATGTTTTGAAGTAGTAGGTCCAAGG